GCTATACAGTAGGACTTAACCGACAAAATGTATCAGTATTTACAGATGAACATGGGTTACACTGCTGGTCGGAGTCAAGCAGGGATAAGTCATAGCCTTCGTGATAATGTTACAGATTCGACGACGTGTAGAATAGAGAAACTCGGCACTCTGCGACAAAGTCCAATTTTACCAGAAAACTGGCGCAGTTACAAGGAGCAATGGCTTCTCGTCGTCAAATCAGCATCACTATTGCTGTGAGGTTTTAGGTTGAATTTATGTAAACGAATTTATTAATTTTGCCACATACCTGATGGAATATGTACAGCATAGTTCTTTTGACTATTACAGCTACAACACAAATGGAATCAACATAGCATTTAATTTAGATATGTACACGTATCAAAGTAGGATAGCTTTTGTGATTGCATTTGATCGTCTCTTCTCGAGAGCACATTTCAGGCCTTGATACTTGACTAGATCCAGTTCAGTGAGAAGATTTACAAGTATCCGCTCATCATCGAATGAGAGGTTTTCATTTTCCAAATGCATCGGTGACAAAAATCGAGAAATATACACCTGAAAGGCATAAGTACGATATAATGATACAATTCGAATTATGAACAATGTTGCTCCAGCTTGTGTATATCCTTTTACTAATTCTCCATAAAGACCAGGGATAAGAAATAGATTATTGTGCGCATTGAGCTTACGAAATGGGTTCGATGATAGGCCCTAAGCCTGAGCAGGTGTTTTCATTCTCCTACGGAGTTCTAGTACCTAAACCGTCCACCTTATAGAAAGGAGGTTGGTTGCTACAAATAGACCTCTATTGTGGAGATAAAGAGCAGCGCCAGTGACATCTTGGCGCAATGTGGCTCGGGGGTAGGCGCTCCTGCGGCGCGTCGCATGTTCGCGTACCTCAGTGCGGCGAAGCGGGGAATCCGTGAGCCAGGGGGAGTGTAGCCAGTCTAGGGGTGAGGGCAGTCACTTGACATGCGTGAAAAGCTGGAATGTTCGAGTTTCCACTATGTCGCGAACATGCCATGCGCCGCGGCGACTGCTCCTTCCCCCCAAGCCACATTGAGCCGACATGTTTACGGTGAGTGCGGTCTCCCATGACAATGAAGCCAGATGTTGATATGTGGTGGTTTCTAACTTGTTCAAAATACTTACCAATGACGACAAATTAGTGAGCGTGGCTGCCACGAAAGCGATCAGGGCAGCATCAGAAGGAAACCGTCTTTTGTGTCCGTAGACTTGAAAGTAACACTCCACGATAAGGTACAGTACGGAGCACGCAGGCATTCGCATCAAGAATCGCGGTATCAGGCAGATTCAATGCGGCCGACTCTCCGCGTTCGTAACAGACACCAATTACTCCTTTAGGTCGACTGAAATCAAACATATTCATTTTGAAGACAAGAATGTTTTTGGCAAAGAATCGGGAATCGAAACCGAAAATTTGAGCAACAAATCTTAAAATATGGATGGATGCCGATGTCGCAGGCTGTAAAGCGTTTGGCATGATTCATGAGTGGCTTGGGCTCCCCACCTGAGGCTTCAGCTGCTCACCGCTGCAAATGGACCAGTGGAAGCATCTCACTCTTGTTTCTGCTCTCTCGTCTCAGCAAGGAGTGATTCTACTCGATGAACTCTTCGATCGCTCGAAAAGAAAATCCTTTTCAGCGCTATCAGCGATTTCTCTTTCTCGCGGCGATACACATGTACCTCAGTTTTCGTTCTTGAGCACAGTAACCACACCCACGCAAACGTGGAATGTGTTTTCGTAGATTCCAAAACTCCTTTACTCGACAGAGAATTGAAGGTTTTTCTCTGTGCCAAACAGGTTTTTTTTATAGTGAAGCATTTATTGCGCCGACGTTTCTAACTTGGACATTACTCAACAGAGAATTTATTTCGCAGTACAGGTGATCCCTATTGAAGTGAATCGACCCAATGCAACAGTCGAGAGAATCCACAACAAAAGTTCACTCAAAATCTTCTTCTTATTGTTTAGCGGGGGCGGAAGTGGTGTAGTGGCACGCTTACCACGCGAGCGGTCCGGGGATCAAATCCTGGGTCGTGAGTCGCCCGGGCCAACCAAGCCTTCCATCCCTCCGGGGTCGGTTAATTGGTACCAGACTTGTCTGGGAGGATAAAAACACTGACTTGTACATCGGCTGGCCCCCGCAAGTCATTGTATAGGCCACATCGCATTCAAACGCCACTACGAATGTACAAATGGAAGTAGAATGCGTGCCGCATCCCAAAAAGGGATTGATCAACGGCAAATGCTTTATCCTTTTTTTATAATCAGGAGAAAAACTAACACTTCCTGATCCTTCGTCCATAGAACAACTTTATGATTTGGATGAGCTTTCGGCTTCAAAGAGTTGATTTTGTCCACAAAATCTATAACGGTGTGCTTCCTTTGCTCAGAGCCACAAACCACCATGTCCTCGCCAGCAAGCACGGGGAACAGTAGCTAAAATCATCATAATATCGCAGAGAGACACGTAGTGGAATCAATAGATCCCCACTTACATTGTCAAGATGATGAGAGACTGTTCGCATCGTCTCTTCATTACCAATAGCGACCTGCTCCTTGCTAAAAAATTGGGAAAACTGTTACTGATACTCTATTATCACCTTCTTGAGTTTCTGTACCTTTTGGATGTGCTTGTTTTCATTGGAGAAGTCAGTTTAGGAAAGCGAAGAATTGGGATATTCGCACAATATAAGACACCTTCTCGAATATGGTTCTCTGAACACTGCACAAGAAAAGGGTGCAAGTTAGCCAGGAAGGAATCATAAACCTGAAAACATCCCCGTTAGCTCAAAAGTCAGTAAATCGTCACACATCAAATCTAATCTGAATTTCAATAGGAAAAAAAGAAACTCCTACATTACAACTTCAACTACTGAAGCCTAAGCAGCTATCAGACCTTTTATTTCCACGACACGCGTTTAGTGAAATCATATACACGGCAGGCCCAAGCAGCGCTAAACGTTCATTATATCATGGTATATGAGGAGGGTTTGGGATTTTGAAGGTGAGTCGTATTTCGGTTTTTTGTAAAATGCTGATGGAGACAAGGAGATCACTATTTGAGATTGCCAGAGGGGGTGTGGTGGTGGAAGTTAGGAGGTCGTGCTGCTGTAGAACGGTGGCGGGGTCATTTTTGACAAGTTTTTCGACAATTTGCGAACTGAAGGAAGGAAATGTAAAATAGCCAAAACCAGAACACTGATAATTTTTTAACCATAAATATCCCCCTATCATGCCCCAGCCCCTAATGTTATAAAGTAGTATTGTGGACAAAGGACGAAGCCCGTTTCGCTGGGAAAATCTGTCCCGTGAACGTGACAGCACGCTGAAACTGTGTCAAGGAAATTTGCCGAAACCCAACAACGGTCGACCGCCACGATTGTGTCATTGAGCATGGCCCCGCATGATACGATGACGACTCTGACAACACTCCAAATGAGCAGCATTTTTACTTCTCCTCTGTTCAGAAAACCAGAAGCGCGTTGAGTGCAGACCAACACCACAAGTGACGACGGCCTCCAAGTAAATCTGGTTAGTAGTGGTTCATAGTGATAGCTGATTTTGGTAAATGATAGTTGTAATTAGTGACAACTGATAGAATACAACTGCAACAGGCTAATCATTTCATTGGCAGAAAACATTTGCATTTTGTGGAGGCCGTCGTCACTTGTGGTGTGTGGTCTGCACTCTTCCGAAACAGAGAATATTTTGACCCCTACCCTTTCACAAATGCCGAAAGGTTCCGAAATTTAAAAACAAGAACGGCAATACGGACTCTCCCCCATCCTCCCATTGCCTCGAATAAGACTCCAGTCAAGAAATATAATATTAGACCGTTGCTCACTCTGCGTAGCACAGTGAACACCGAAGAAAACTTTCTGATCACAGGCAAAATAAACTCACACATGGTGTCAGTTCTGAAATTGGACACAGTGATGAAGTCTGCAAAAAGGACATGAACATCTTCCTCGGCAGCAGCACGATCTTCACCAGAATGACCGCTGCAATCCATATCTGGAGAAGGTTTTCATAAGATACTCGTGTGATCGTTTCAAAATAGTGCACCTTATTGGAAAATAAGAAAGCAACTATGGGGATCCCTGAGGAGACAAACACAGGGAACTTCTATGGATAAAGGATAAAGGATAAAGCATTTGCCGTTGATCAATCCCTTTTTGGGATGCGGCACGCATTCTACTTCCATTTGTACATTCGTAGTGGCGTTTGAATGCGATGTGGCCTATACAATGACTTGCGGGGCCAGCCGACAAGTCAGTGTTTTTATCCTCCCAGACAAGTCTGGTACCAATTAACCGACCCCGGAGGGATGGAAGGCTTGGTTGGCCCGGGCGACTCACGACCCAGGATTTGATCCCCGGACCGCTCGCGTGGTAAGCGTGCGCTTGCCACTTGCCACACCACTTCCGCCCTGGACACCAGGGAGAATTGACCGCATCGCCGACCACCTTCTCTCCCAGACTTTTGCAACCAGCAATGCACATTTGGACAACGCTTGCCAGGTATGAAAGAGCACAAGTGATTCGAGCGGTACGACCTTGCTCGAGCCACATCTAAAGCCACCAGATGGAAGCTACACAAGAGTCCAGCGTTTGTCGCGAAAGCCGCGACGAAGGAGTAGTTAACACAACGCGACGAGTCATAAGCGCGAAGTCGGCATTGCACATAGAGCAGCGGAGATACTTTCCTAACCTATTGAGAACGGGGAAGGAAAGCATTCCAGCGCTGTTTGCGTTTTACCGTCACATGCATTATCCCCAGATTGAGCCAAGTGTGACGATCACGGAAATGTGCAACACAGATGAACTGTACTGCAGCTGCGGACAGCTATTTATGTCATTCAACTATAAATATAAAACGCTCCTATGCCTAGACTTTCTGCGATAATACTATTTTTGACATAGCCACTTTAGTAAGCAGGTTCGTAAAGCCCCAGTGAGAGCAAATCTTTTAGTTTTCAGCACCCCATTCCTTGCCGCAGCTTCTTCTATTACTGCTGAAGTGCAAGAGCTTGCTGTTCACAATTTTTTCGCGTCATTTCTGAAGATGTGTCTTTTCTCAATATGTAGCACGAATTTACTTTGGTTTTTAGTGATTTTTTCATTCAGAAAATACAAGTCAGAGATCTCCGAGTCTGTTATCCTTGAACTGAATCAGTATCTTCCGAAAAAAGGAGTTGTGTGCACTGAACCAATTTAAAGGGGTCGGAGTAGTAACGAGATTCGTGCAATATTATGTTTGGCCTTGGCGCATAAACCAGCAAGATTTGAAAAAGTGAAACCCATAGAAGGTTAATACATACAAGTACGCGATTCCGACAACATGTCGTACATAGCCTGCATCCTCGGCCGGAGCTTTCGAGCCTGAAAAAAAACTTATTCGTCATATAAGCAATGTGGCAATTAGAGTGTGAATTACAGGGTGGCGAAAAATTACGTGCGCCATAAAAAACGTCCTAACTTCATTTTTTTTGTCCATAAAAATTCGAAGGAAATTAATTTTATAAAACAGCAAACTCTAACATTCATAATTATAAAAAAGTATCGAAGTGGCCGCTGTCAGTTTTGATATAGATCTGAATTAGTTTCGACATCGAGTCGATGGTGCGGCGAAGCTAGAGGAGAGGTCTCTGGTTTGACGAAAAAGTCTCCTTTAACACATTGACGACATTGAGACGCGGTAACGCGTCTCACTTTGCGCACCTCGTTGGACATTGAGACGCGTTGCGCGTCTCACCCTTGTCATCCCTTTTTCTAGCGTATGCGGGCTTCTTCCCAATTTGCTTGCCTCTATTCTATGGATTACAACATAACATAACTGTAAACGACATGGGTCACGGTATGATCAAATATGCTCCAGTTTAGCAGAAGTTTTTCAAGCACAGCGGAATTGGCAGCTCGGTTCATCCCTCGTTTT